ATTCTGCCAAGAATTTCCAAAGATAAATTACGTTGGTCAGTTTGTATTGAATCAAAGTTTAATTAGAATACATGAAATATAAGAACTTTTTGATTATGCCGTACTAAAAAATGAATTCTGGATTCAGATCATTTGCTACACATCTACTGTGATGGATTATCTTCTTTTTGCTCTTAGGATTTGAAGTTTGTAGATGTTAATTTCTTTGTATTAATGTATAACCTTTTAACTTAAACTACTTTGCTTACCTTAGCTTGAAGTCTTGTTGTGTGCGGCTGAATGTAAAATCTGTGAGTTTATCCTTTAGTAATTAAATAATGTATGTATCAGTCAAAAACTGTAGTTGAGCTATTTTTAATTAAACTGAAATTTGAGTTCTAGCTAATTACTATAAGTTCGGAAACTACCACTTACTAGAAGCAGTTTTTCTGAAATTAACCAGCAACGAGGGCTCGGAAGGAAAATAATCATTGCAAAAATTCATTTCAATATAAAAATTTATCAGTTAATTTTAAAACGCAGTATTACTAAAGCGAACTTTTGTGTATACGAAATCAGACAGGATATGATAGAGCAGAAGTTAAAATAAATAATTTACAGATAAAAATGTTACAGCTCTATTGCTGAATAACTGTATGGTTTTATTTGTATAATCACGGCAAAGTACACAAGGGCTATCTCGCTAAGGGGAGTGATGCCTTCTTATAGGACTTTCTAAGGGGAGCTGGCTCATATACACGGGACTCATTACATATGGAGAAAATAGCCAGCTCGCTCGCCGGGATTGGAACTCTGGACCGAACTACCAGTACTCAGCGACTTTACTGCTCGGCCGCTGGTAGGTCGCTGGATAACTATAAATCTTAGTTTTGTTGTCTAAGCTAATCAGGTTATGTAGCTAGATTTTATGTTTGTTTGTTTGTTTGTTTAACTCTTAGGGCGTATTCGAATAAGCACGCGAAGGCTATATACCAAAGAAAAAAATGTTTTCGTAGAGGACTTCTATGTTAAAACAAGCGAGAGCTATTTGCGTAAAAGGCGACTTACATTCGTAGAGAATTTTCTGAGTTAAAAACTTCATTCGCCAGAAATCGAAGCTTGGTCGACTTACCAGTGTTCAGTTGTCTTATCCACTTTCCCACTGACAGACGGTCTAATTTAGTAATGCTTTTTAAAATTTATTTGCTCTAAGCGTTTTAATGCAGTATAATAAATTCTGTGCAATTTTATTATAATGTTGCAATTAATTTTAAAGCCTATGACTTTTAATTTATAGCTTTAATTTATGTGTACAGTTTGAATTGCTTATAGTATTTTGATTTTTTATAGTATTGCTTATGTATTATTTTTTTTTTCTGGTCTCAAAAAAGCGATAACGCTCTTGAGACTGGTTAAGGTCATTTTAGCTTGTAGTTGAACAAAAGTTTGCACAATTTATTTAAAATATAGGCTATTAAAAAGCGATATGAAATTTTATAATGAGTGTTTAAATTGTGGCTGTAACTCCTTTCGTACATAAAATATTAAAAATGTTTTATACTAACTTATACCCTAAAAATGTTAAAAAAAAAAAAAAAAAATCTGAAGGCTTTCAGATTTTACAGGGACTATTTTTTTTTTTTTACACGTTTCGTGTGTTACTTTTATTTATGAAATATCATGTTCTTTGCACTTAAACCATAAAATACAATTCAACAGCAATATCGCAAAGTAATTTTAAAATGAGCATATCTTTAGAATTTCTGATACACAGTCTCGCGCGCTGGAGATAATTTTTTTTTTTTTTTTCCGTACAGTGTTGCCATTGCTTGCATTGAAATGATTGAGTTTGTTAACCAAAAATTTGTTACAAAATATGAAGTCAATAATAAAACAAATTCCAAATTAGGTCTTCCAGATGCCCATATTCGGTGGAACATTACGTTATTCAAAATTCGATGGCTTAGGTACCGTTGTTTTATCACCGTGCGAGAAATATATATACGCAGATTCTTCATTATTTTATTTCTTTAATATATATTATATATAACACAGGGCTATAATATTTGGTGGCAACAGTTTAAAAAGTAAATCAATGTTTATAGTGAATCGACGCAAAATACCAAAACAAATCTAATAGCCCTCCTGGGCTAACGCCCTTTGGGCTAATAATAATACTTGTAGTTTTGATGTCATAGCGTATCTTGATCATAAGGGATTTAAATACGATCGTGGTACTACTAATAATGGAATTTTTGAAATCAAAATTGTCAAAAAATAGAATTAAATGGAATTGAATGCAATAATCCTTATGTACATTATTTCTATATCTATTTTACTGTTCTGTTTTTCATACCATTTTCAATACCATTATTATGTGGCACCGCACGATTTTATCATTTTTTATTTTTTGAATATACAAATAACATGATTGCCTTGTTGGCTGTTTATTACATATAACAATTATAATAATAAGGCGTGCGTACGGGTTCGTAATAGATTAAATGCACACAGAAGCGATAATATCTTGATAAAATTAATTTTTGCCAAAAGAAACACTTTATAGTTTTTTAACTTTCCACAAAAGTATTCGAACAATTGTTTTCAGTAACACAGAGCATAATCAGTAATTTCACTCCAAGCTACTAAGAATGTTAAACACATCGCAATGCAAAGCGCATTTAAAAGGCGAAGCTCTCATGGCTGTCTCAATATACCAAACTCGCTCTGAATTAAAAAATACTGAAAAACTGTTACTCTCTGCCGCCTTATATAGTTTTCCCCAGCCGTCGAGAAATGCCTAGTACCTTCCATTTCTTGAAATTACTGGAGGATGTGATGACCGGATACGGTTACAGTTATATATGGAATCAATTACAGTTATTCAGTTACAATACCCATTACAATTATACAAGGATCTCGCCAAAAGGTTGCCAAGTTTGACGGACCTATTCGGCGACAAAAATTAGTTGCGAAAACCATCGCCAGATTGGCGATGTCTCGCCAATTTAGCGAGGTAGCCGTTTGCTGAAAGTTAAGTAGACTTGTCCCTGTAATTTGTTTTTTTCGGAAGAGAATCGTCTCTTTCAAGCATTTCGTGTTACATTATACAAAATAATAATAATAATAATACAGTTTTAAACATAACTTCACTAAAATTACGTACATATATCTAAAATTCGGAATAATAATAATAAGCATCTAATATCATATTTAAGTATTGTAATTGTTATTAATAATTTCTAAAACCTATTAAAACTGTATTTACTAGGCAGTTAAAGATTTCAAGTTATAAAAACATTTTTGGTTTTTCGCAAAGTAGTGCGGAAGGCGAAGTAAGGCAATGAGACACGCTCAAATAAAAATGAGAACAGACGCAAAATCAATGTGTAATAAGTTTGAGATAAAAGATATTTAAGGGGTTTTTGAAATTTGCCTTGTCTGATAAAAATCTGTCAACGTGTCTATGCTTTTGTATTTTGCTACAATTTTTTAAAAAATATTTTTCTAACAAAATGTAGGGCTATATATTTCATATGAAAATAATTAAGCGTTCTGGATATAAAAAACAATCTTTCTTCGAAAATGAAAGGATAATTTTTTTCTTAATATGTTTCATTACTATCTTTTAATTGTTAAAGCAAAATGTCCGTAGCAATTGCGTAGAGTCATTAGGTTTTTTTGATGCTGGAGATGTGAAAAATGAGCAATGCTATGGCCGGGACTTGCACGTAGACCTCTAGAATGCTTGCCGAGTGTGCTACCGGTTACACCACGAAAGTATGCTGGAAAATGGGAGAAAATAACCTTATACACAGCAACTTTTTAAAGGACAACTGGGAATTAGGGGACTCAATCGCCAAATCTTGGTGGTGACGATATATTGTCCACCACCTTTTAGTTCGGGTGCCACTGTACAGCCTTTTTTTTTATGCTGTAGACCTGAAAAATGAACAATGCCCTCGCTGCGACTTGAACCTGGATCTCTCGAATATGCGCCGAGTGTGCTATCGTTACGCCACGAAGGCATGCCGGAAGAAGGGATATTAACATGCCGTATAGCTGTAATCTCTTCCTAATTAATTCAAATTGAATGTGCACGTATTTTGTGTATTGGCGTAATTTCTCAAACACTGGGTATATGTATATCTTGGCTTTTATTTTCATCGCTCTCCTTTCTTCTAAGCTCAGAAGCTATTTCATTATTTACTATAAAAAAAAACTACAAATTTTCTAAGCTAGGAACAGAAAATGCATTTTTATTTGGGAGTTTATACAAGTGTTCCATGCCATTCTTTTCATGTGGTAAGTGAATGGGCAAGTAGATTTGAATTTTTTGGGCAATTTGCGAAAAAGAAGCGATCTCTGGAAGCGTTGAATAGAACTTTATAAATCGACGAAATTGGCATTGCCAACAAAATTCTTCACAATTTGCCGAAACCAGTTGCACAAAGGCCCGCTCTTTATGTATTTTTCACCATGAATGCAAATACGAATCTTTTCTTGAAAGTTCTCCCCAGAATGGAAATTATTCAGAAAATCCCCATCGCTTTCTCCCCATACATTTCTTTCTTCTCTCCATCGAAAGTGCGCTTGGAAAGAAGAATTTTTTCTTATTAAATCTAGAATTCAAATCGCTGGAACTAGAACGTGAAATATGCGATGTTAAGTTGTGGATATTCTTATTTTCTTCGCGCGTTACGCGTCTTCTATATACGTTCAAGAGCCTCTAAAAATAACTTACCATCTGGAAAAGAAGGACAATGGGAGGGTTCAACCACACAACTACGTTTTTAATTCGTTTATTTACGGTAGAATAACATCGCAACCTTAGAAGCTTTTACCTTTTTTTTCTTTATTCTTGCCACCTTTCCAAGGGTGAACCTCCACCCTGCGTCGACTGATCGAATTGACCCTTCCCCTGCGCAATGCGCAGGGTACCGCCCCCTATTTCTCGCCGTAACCATGACAACGCGAGCAGAAGGAGACAGGAGGATACATCCAGTGGTGTTGATCGAAATTCGGTCGTTCCTCAGTGTGCCGCGCTTCTACCGGTGACAAGCGAGTTGGTGACAAGTTTCGACCCATGCCCCACGCGTGGGGTGAAAGTTTTGTGTGGATTTGTGAGAACTCACCTCTCTAAGGATCGTCTGCAAGTGTTTGTGAATTAACTCACTCTGAAGCCATTGCTCCATTGCGTGCAATGGTGCTTCAACAGAAGTACCGCTGAAAGTTATCCACTGGGGACCCCCGGGGAATTGACTGGCACTTCCCCCAGGGGTCCAGGTGTATTAAATTCCAAATACCGGCACAGTTATTGATACACGTGACTTGGATATGTTGCTACCTCTGTTATTTTCATTCCTGACTACTTACTATCTGTGGCACCAGTTATAGTAGAATTCGAATTCCTAGCTTCTTATGAAATGCATTATCGTAAAATATTCTGAATAATTACCGCTCTAACTGTCCTTCATTAGAACTATTTGCAAAACAGTAATAGTGCTTAGATTAATATATCATTTTGGCAACAAATTTTTGACCGCAAGTATTTGGGGAAAAAATTATAAGCATTTTTCGAAGATAATTTTTATTTTTTAAATAATATGGTGAATGACATAATTACTGTAGAAATTATATATCGCTCATCAGTTCATTAATTATTCCGAAGGTATTATTACTCCTAAATAAGCTCTTATTTAATTGTTGTTATGGATAATAATAAGACTTGTACTAAATGACGAACGTGAAATTTTTTAACTTTCCAGTTAATTCACTAAATTAAACTTGATGGATACCATCAATTTTATACCAAATTAAAACAAATCAATCAATTATTAAGGCACTGTTCTTGTGCAGATAGTTTTAACATACTGAGGATGTTGTCATTTTATGTGAAAGATATTGCTCTGGTAAGAAATAAAAACTGTAAAAAATTAAGTAAACGGAGGTAGGTTATTGTGGTGAACAAACTTGTTAATAACCATTTAATATAAATTAGAAAATTTATATAACTATATAGCGTTGTATGTTTGAATAAATATATACTGTAAGCAAGTTTATTTAAAAGCTTAAGGCCGATAGTAGTTTGTTGTTATTAACTGTAAATGTTTATGAAGAATTTTGTATATTAGATGTCCTTTGCAAGGCTTTTAATGATAAGGAATTTTATTGCTAATGCTGCCTCATTAGCTAAGAGTACATAGATAATATTGGTTTAATTGTTTTTAGTTTTAATGCTTATTTTAAGCATGTTAGAGCAGAAAAATAATTTTTCCTACATTTCTAATTCTTGTTTTCCTATACTGAGGGAAAAATTTGTAATTAAATAACATGCTCTTTTGTTGAAACAAATTTAAAAGCAAGAAACGGCGTTTTCTAAAAATTTCATGACCTAATAGTATTTATTCAACGTTTATTACATCATAATGAATAAGAAGTTGCCCAATAAAAGACCTACTTTTTTTTAAATTTAAAAAGTAGCGGTATTTATTCTGCTTGTCACTTAATTAAATTGAACAGCAATAGTGCTTATCGTAATTCTTCTTAAAATACTCTTTCTGCGACACTTGCAAGACATTTATTAGTCCATCAGGGTGGATATCATAACTTTAAACAGGCTTTTGTACTAATTTTCACAGTTAAAGGTACTTGATTGGCTGTCGCGTAAAGGTGTGTTTGAATTGCCAAGAAATACTTTTCATCGTAACGTTCGAGACCAAAAGTAAAATTTTAGACAAGAGACATGTTTCAAGCAGTGATGCAGTTCCGTGATCCGCAACAACCTCAACAACAGCAGCAACCTCTTCACCACAATCCTCAACAGCAGCAACAACAGCAAAATCAAAAACCACCCATGCATCCGCAGCATTTGCCTCATCCTCCTACATCCACACTTTCCAGCTCCTCGTCTTCCTCCACCGATTCCTCAGGGAGTGGCCAGCCATCGGGGGCTGCGACGACGCCCCCTAATCGTCGGTCTCGACGTCGGAAGTCTCTTCTGTATCAAGTGCTCATGTCCCCTTTGAGGAAGAAATCTGGATCCACCAATACTTTGAACACAGTTGCTTCTGGTGGTGGTGGTGGTAATGTAATTCAGCAACAGCAACACCAAGGGAATGTTGTAAGTAAATCTGTTCCATTTTAATGTGCATTTTAATTATCTTTTGTGCCTTCCTAAAAATAGCTGTATTCATTTCTAGCTTTGTTGACACGAATGCTCCCGTTCCGCCCCTTGGACCAGTAACGCCCTCCTAGATCTATCTCCTCAGTCTATGGGGGATAGCGCCGTTGTAGAGTAATTGTTATTAGAGTCAAGAGTTTTAAGTAGTTTTAAATTAGGTCATCTTTAATCCATAATTTTTTCTCGTTTAAAATGAAACGTTAAACGATCCGTCTTTGAAAAGTGATAATATATAATAATGGCTTGATCTTGCTCTTTGAAGTTTCGAAATGTCTTATTTTTCCAAAATTAAACCATCAATTTTACACGAACAGAAACTGATATTCGATTTTACTGAAATTCTATTGAATGTAACATAAAATTAATAAATTAATCATTTCTTGTTGTCAGCACAACATTTTGAAATACAAGTGCATCATTCACAGACTTATAATGCTCAACTAAGAAAATCCTGAATATAATCCTGAATAGCCAGTATCTGATACTTTTATATACATTTCAAATAGCGATTTGATTTAATTTCTCATGAGTCATTAAATAAATTGGTTAAAAAGATAAGCAGCAAAATAAGCATAAGGGCAGTACTCAGAGCAAGTTCTTTTCAAGTGTCAGAAATCTCTTCCTATATATGGCGTATTCTCCAAGCCGTCAGGAATGGTATTGTGTATGTTCCATTAAAACTGTGCAATAATTAATGATCAAAAGTTTAAATCTGCTAAAAAATATATACTCAGATTTTTAGGACATTTCTAAAAAGTTGTATACTATATATAAGGACAAATTTATTACATTTATAAATTATTACCCATGTAAAACATGTGTTTTTCATATGTCTAATGATGCAAGCCGATCGTACATATTTACTTTTTATGCACTATGTGACATATTCTGTATTTTTATGTACTATTTCTTGCTTCTTACTTCCATAATTAGTTGACTCTTGCATAAAAATGTTTTTAAAGGTCACTGTTAAATGATGTGTATGCACGGCATACATATATAATGTTTTCTTATACTATGAAAATGTCCTTTTTTTTTTCTTTTAGAAACTCTTTGCTTTCATTATAACACAGATAACATTGTTTAATTTTGATCTCTCCATTCACGTTACCCATTGATCAGAACGATCGATAGGACCTGAAATTAGCTGGAGTAGCAAGGATATCCCACATTATGAGAGGGAACTAATTTTATAAGTCATATGTTTGAGTATGTGTGTGAACGAGCATCTTGTGGGACCGCGGTAAAATTATAGAAACTACTAGGATTTTCCAAGCGCGAAACATTAAAAATCAATTTGCCTTCATCGGGATTCGAATCACGGATCTTCCAGTAACTATCTAATGGATATGCTGACTACTTACACCATAAGAGCAAACACTGAGGAATATTAGTTCTTATAAATTCATTATATCAAAGATTAAGCTGCAGCAACCGTAGTGTGAGTTAGAAATTATCAAAAGTTGGTAACGAGCTGTGGAGAACTCATATAGCCATAGAACTCTCCATACGCTCAAATAGCCTTTCCATGCATTTGAACCTTGGTTTAGGTTCCAAGCCGGAAACCTGGTGTACGCATGTTCATTGAATTTACTTTTTACGTTGAAATGTAAGCCGCATTTTTTCATGTTCATAAAAGTGTTCACATTAAAAAGGTAAAGCAGTAAAATGCTTTAGAATCATAAAATGATTTTAGTTTTAAAAACGTAATTCGCTTTTTTTTTTTTTTTTTTTTTTTTTTTTTTAGTAATGGTGTTTATTTCCATTTTTAATCGAAAGTTTTATTATCGTTCCGCATGTCATGTTTTGTCAGAGTTTTCAAAGGAAGTGTATCGAATATTCTTGAGGAAGATTCTTGATGTTTCATTACTTCAGGAAGAGTCCTCGCATTTGCTGTAATAAGTCTCTCTTCAAATGGACTATGTTTTGAATATATATTGTAAAATAATACTTCAATGGATCTCAACGAAGAAACTATTACCTTATAGAGTCTCGTATTCTTGCGTATAATAAGCGAATGAGACCTAAAAGACTGCATGAAGAATTATCCTCAGATCTTAGTTACGACAAAAAGCTCAAAAGAACGGTGTAAAGAACTCATTATTCACTCAATATAATTTCACAGATGGCCCCACTTTCGCATAAACGAAGTCAATACTTGTGGCTAACTCAAAACTGATAACGATGAAATTCAAATAAAATGTAGCAAACAAGGCTCACAGGATGATTAAACGCGCAGGAAGGCTCTGACTCGTAGAAGTCGGCGTAAACAAGCTTAATGGCTAGAAGACTTAATGGACAGAAATCTAATCGATAGTAATTCAAGATAGCAGAGGGGCTTTCAAGCAGGCATAAAAACACGCTCTAAAATCACCTTCTCTTAAATGCTACTTCTTTCTACCTCTTTTGAGTACACGCGTGCCAGCTGATTAACATTCTGGAAAGAATGCTAATCAGCTGGAACGGGTGGATGATTAACATTCTAATCATAAAGTGTGGATGAAAATGAGAATAAAAGGAAAGTTAATTTAGAAATAAAAATTAACTGAATCTTCACCATCTTTTGAAAGCCAAGGTGCAAGTACAATTTTGAATAATTTGTACGCACTAAAAAATCCAGCCAACGACGTTAACATTGTTGAAAGAAAATGGGGTTTGGATTCTCCCAGATTTCATTTTTATCTGATAACACCAGATAAAACTCTTAAATGTACCAGGAGAAAGCTGCAGTGACAATAACAAAAATTGCTTTGTCATTATTTTTTGGGCAACCTGTATTTTTGATATTTATTTCAAGTAAATCTCATAAAAGAAAATTTAAAAATTAAATACTGTAGTACTTCCTTATACCGGAAGAAGTTTTGGATGAACAATGTATGCGTTGACATTTTTATAATCTTGTACGTGTATTTTTATAATCTTGTATTTTTATAACCTTGAACTGAAGTAGTTCAACAACTCTTATGGAGAAAAAGGATGGTTGTTGCTTACCCAATCAGTTTGTTAGGATCATTTTCTTTAAACTTTATTTCTTACATTCAGTATTGCTTTCACTTCCATTTTTCTTTATCGACTCTACCAAAGATTAAAATTCATCGAGAATCTGAATATAGAGAAAACATATTGGCGACTTCCGTCTGGAGGGCTGTAATACTGATTCAACTTGCTGGTTTATTGAGCTGAATTGACGTTGAGTTATTCATTAGTTGTACGTAAAAAGGCGTACTAACGCACAAGCTGTGTTCTTATTTTAATGTTTGGTTTTGTAAATAATTGAACTATTATTCTATTCTCAGGCGGCAAGCAGCGAACGTTCAGTTTATGTTATTCATTTGAGCTGTTTAACTTTGAAGCTGAAATAGTAACGAACGTTTTTAATCTTTTAGACGATTATAAATATTGCGTTTCTGCTATTGGATTCTAGTCAGAGACGGAATGAAAATACGTCTGGCAGTCCAGCAAGGGTACCCCATGTTTAGATTTAGTGTAATTAGAGTGTAGTTTTAAAGGTTATGTCATTGCTTTCGAAAGTTACTTGTTAAAGCGAATGAAGAAAGCGCACATTGGAGACTTTCTAAAGAGGAAACAGACTAGTTATTTGCAGTATGCATAAAAGCAGAGTCGCTTCAAGGGAGTCAGTTTTGCGTAATGTGGATAGAAGTATCAATATTCTGCGGCTATAAGCGACTTACTCATTGATGGGTTCAAACCATTAGGGTAAGAGGTTTAAAGGAAAAACAGTAGAACACGTCGTATCGATGGGGAAATAATAAACAAATACGTGCGAGGAAATGCTCTGCTGTAGTTTTTGTCTGATGATGATGATGGTGACTGGTAATAATGAGAACAAAAAAAAATTTCCCGGGAATATATTACTGAAAAAGAAAAATGCAATAAATTAAATAAATTAGCTAGTTGTAATTCTAATTCATTTTACGAGTTGTTCTCTCGTAATAAGTGAAATTTTAACATTTTTAAAATAGTAATGCAATAAATTAAATAAATTAGGTAATTGTAATTTTAATTAATTTTACGAGCTTTCTCTGTCATTTCAAATTCGTTGTTGAATATGCATAAGTGTGCGAAATTTAAGCAAGTTTTCTCATTTTTATCCTTTGTTTCGCAAAACATCAATTGGGATGAAATTTGTACTACAGAAGCCAAATGTAGTGCTTAAAGGTTGAAAAAAGCATAATGCCAAAAAACGGGAATAGGACACATACAATAAGGAACGAACAGAAAAATGCTTTATTGACAGAGGCGTTGGTACAAAAAAGGTGTCTGGACAAGAGGAAGATCAACAAACCAAAGATCTTTAGAAAGCGATATGACCTCCCTTAACTGCAGTGGTTGCGTTGCGTAGTCTATCGATACTCAACACCAGATTATCCAACAGGAGTAAGAGTTCCCATTCTTCAAGAAGCATTGCTTTCAGTTGTCTGGTGTTCTCCGGAAGATCGTGCCGCCAGGTGTATGTGACCGTACATTGTCATTCATGTGACGTCGGGTCCAATAACACTCCGGAAAAGACGCACGTGGTGGAGAATAATTTCTTCACACTAACGATCTCCTGTAAGTGAATGTTTGTCGAAAATTTGGAGCTCTGTCTATCCGTTCTTCATAATGCCTTCCCATACAAGTACGCCAGGACTAACCAATGGTCTCTTCTCTTGGTGGGATGAAAGCGTGTCCCTGCCTCTCTCCATATCAGTTTTCACCGGGAATCATTTGTCAAACTGAAACAACTTCACTGGTAAAGAAAATGTGACTCCATTAATGAGGTGTTCAGTCTTTGTGGTCTCTTGGCCACCGTAAATAGTGTTGCCAATAGGCTGTTGTCATTGGTATGCGTCATTCAGAGCTGCGGCCGAATATGTTTTCTTTATGAAGTCATCTGGCCACGTAAACCGGGTTTACCTGTCGTCCGCTTAACGTGCAAA